ATTAGTCTATAAAGAGGGGAGTAGTGTAACAGCTCTTATAAATTGTTCTATCTTAGGTTGCTTAGAACCTATCTAAAGGGTCCCTGTATCAGCCTCAACCCTAACTCAACCTAGCTCTAACCCTGCCTTGCCCTCTGCTGTACCTCTATTCCCCTAAGTATTTAGTCGCACCTCTCTCTTGTAGATAGCTTAGTAGTGTTCTAATATCCTTTTGTACAAGGCCTATAGGTGTTAATGGAATTCCTAGGTCATTAAGTCCCCACGCACTTCTATATGCCTCTAAGTGGATTCCTACTGCATTTAGACCCATTGTCTTGCCTGCGCCGTTACACATATAGCTATTACACATAATCTATTAACAGCGTACCACCTGCAAACAGATAAGCAGACAGATCGTGCTAACTAAGATATTAAGCAATATTTAAAGAAGTATATATTCTTTAAATAAAACAACTAGGCAGCATAGCTCTTACTTGCATAGCTTGCTTTTAATACAGCTAGATTTGCAACTATAAAAGAAACTCTATACATAGCAAATTTTAGCTACAACTCTTACATCTCTATACAAGGAACATAACTACAGGGCTTTAAAGAAGCAGTAGAATAAATTACAAGAATCTAGAACCTACACTAAAAATTAGCCCAACAGGCATAAATTAGCTAAGAATAAATAATAGAGCAAGCTAATTAGTATTAGACAGAAGAACCTAACATCTGCCTAGAAGACAAAGTCTACCTAGATATAAAGAACCTAGACAGATTATAACCTTTAAGGAAGCTAGCAGAACAATAGATTAGCTTGTATAAAGTTATAGCGATATAAGAAGTTAACTACTAACTTAGACTTCTACTAATAATAAAAATATATCTATAGTTTAATATATCTAAGCTAGAAAAACCTTAAGAAAAAATCTTTACATCTATAACAGGCTAGAAACTAGTTAAAACTAAATATAAAGTTCTTAGATATGCGCACCTACTGTCAAGACAGGAGGAACGCTTGACGAAAGCTGCTACATAGTACAAGCAATAAGCTCGAACAGTATGTTGCTGCAAATTGCTGCATGTTGCAGCATGTTGCAAGCTGGTCGCGCATAGGGCAAGTGCGTGAGGGACTCGGATTGGAAAAACAAAAGCCGAGCAACACGAGTAGAGCAGAAAAAAGGATTAATAAATCAATACAATCAATCATCATCCCATACATCCTATCCAAACCCATCATTCATCTCAGGAAGCCTAGAAACAGTGCTTCAATCTAACAAAAGTAGAACGCGTACTATAATCTAGAAATAACAGAATGCAGTTCTTAGTTAAGTAGAAAGAATAGCTTACTAGTAAAAACACTTAAGAACTTATTAAGAACTTAAGAAATGCTTAGAAAGCGCTAACCTATTTCTAAAAAGCTTAGTAAGTAAAAACTAACTAGGAGAAAGGGCGCTAAAACTAGTAGGCAAAACCACAACACTCTATAAAGCATTGTATAGCTGCGATGTGGATAGACAAATTCCTAGTAACGCTAGCTAAGAAGGAGGAAGGCTAGCAGCTTTAGCCTCTAACGCCTCTAGCTTATCTAATAATAACAAGTCTCTCTCTATGTTTTTAGCTTAATAATTTTAAAGTAGCTGAAGTTGTTTCTTTAACTAAAGCATTTTTACAGACACCTAGGACGCTTTCTAGGCTACAGCTGCTTTCTTCTTCTAGAGAAGAGAGAGCGCAAATACTCTTTTAGCTTTAATAAGAACTCTTTACTTAAAAATAGCAACTTAAGCCTTCTAAGCCTCCTCTATCTTCTATAATACCTTTGCGTAGATGCGCTTAAGCCTGTTTTAGGCCTAAGTAAAAATAAAAGCATTATAATAACTTTCTTTCTAAAACTATTCTACACACTTATTAAAAAATAAAGATAAGATATAGTTAACACTAGAAGTATAATAGAGCCTATAAAGATGCATCTTTATATAATAAAAAGAATTAAGATAGTAAGCAGTATAGTTGCAAAAGAACTAAAGATAATAATAAGGCATAGTTAGAATAATAGCAGTAGCAGAAAGGAAATAGGCACTTATAGGTTTTAATAGTTCTCTAACACGTGCAGCAGTGTAGATAAGGCAGCAAGGACGCTGCTAGGGAGGAAAGGCTGTGTGTTACAGTCTCTAAGTAGACTATAAGCAAGTGCTAGACAACTACTAGGCTAAATAATAACTAGTAGTAGAACTTCTTCTTAGCTGTACAGGAAGAATGTTATTGTAAGAGGTATCGAGCAGGAAACACAAGTCACAGAGAGGGCATGCAGGATAGGGGGGTAACGAGAGAGAGTAAACCTTAGGGTCGGAGGCAGAGGTACGGAGGCCGAGGAGCCTATATACCCCGTGCCAAGCCATTAGGGTACTCAGGGGTTGGATAGCTGTAACATAACCGTGACAGTTATGTAACAAGCTAGATGCTCTTAGAACAAAGATAACAGACTGCTAAGAAATACATGCGCTAAGGGAAAGTACATGCAAAAGGCTAAGATACATGCACTACATGTAAACTTAATGTATATCATCTTAATCTTAACTATTATTTAAAGGTTGTAATTAACGTTTAGTCTTTTCTTTACATAGACTAAGTAGTATTAGTAGTTTATAATAACACTATACTATTATATATCTTGCGCACATATATACTCTAATTATTATCTCTCTAAGATTATTTCCTCTGCTTCTTATACAGTAGAAAGAGGCAAACCACAACAGGCTAATACCCCCTAATCCCACGTAGACAGTTGCCCGGACTGTAAACCCGCGTACCTATCTGCTCTTCCTTCCGTCGACCCTTCATTCTCATCTAGCCCGTGTACCGAACTCCACATCCTTATTAGCACGTGGCAAGTAAGTAGATATTGTAACAGTAGGTATAGTGTAATTGCTATAATTACTCTTTTAAGTAGTAATTATAGTAAAAGCTAGTAATAGTTATAATAATTACTAGTAGTTATATAGTTTTACTTTTCTTCTCTAGTTTAAACAGTTATAGTTACCCCTACTTTTAAAGCATAGCTTTAAATATAGTAACATATCTAATTTTTTAATAGAAAGTATATAGAAGATTCTTTTAATTTACTAAAAAACTAAAGCTACTTAGTTATTTTACTATACTTTTACTTTACTTTACTTCTTTATTCTTCTTTTTCTTTACTAGACTTCTAACTAGATGTTAGATATGCGCACCTACTGTCAAGACAGGAGGAACACTGGACGAAAGCTGCTACATAGTACGAGCAATAAGCTCGAACGGTATGTTGCTGCAAATTGCAGCATTTTGCAGCATTTTGCAACAAATTGCAGCATGTTGCAAGCTGGTCGCGCATAGGGCTAGTGCGCGAGGGACTCGGACCGGAAAAAACAAAGCCGAGCAACACGAGCAGAGCAGACAAAAAAAAATAATCGATTAATCAATACAATCAATCATCATCCTATACATTATATCTAAAAACCCATCATTCATCTTAGGAAGCCTAGAAACAATGCTTTAATCTAACACTAGATTATATAAAAAACTATACAATCTTTGTATCCTATTATACATTAGAGAAGTACCACTCTACTATCCCTCTCTCTACCCTCTCTCTCTCCTCTAAGACCCTCTGTCACTAGGTCACCTATAAAGAATAGACTTAGGTAAGATTCTATAACAATTACTTAAAAGGCTAAAAGTATTTTACTTTCTTTATTAGTATACTAACAATTAATTAGTTAATATATTATTAATTAACGTACAAAGTGCTAAAATTTTATAAAGGTAGACTGTTTACTTGTGTAGACTGCTCGCTTGTGAAATACGTTACTTAAGCGTACAGTTACTTACTTTCTTCTATCTTCTTCTAGTACTTACTCTCTTTCCTTTGCATAGACCCATTAGACTAATCACCTAGAGTGATCCTGTTGCCTGGTTAGCTAACAGTAAGTGCCTTTGTCACTCTACCTCCTTACTTGCTCCTCCTCCACCTACACCTCCTCCTTCACTTACACCTCCTCCTTCACTTACACCTTCTTCTTTGCCTACCCCTTTTTCTTGAACATTTTCACCGCAACTAGCACAAGGTAAACCCTTGGTGTCAGGTGAGGTAATGAATTAACACCCGGCACGCTTCTATTGCGCTAAGCGCAACTTAAGATATTAGTCTATAGTCTTTGTAAGATAATTGCTTCACAGTCCTTAATATGGGGGACTTGATGGCGTGGGATAATGCCACAACAATTGCAAGTAACGCTATCAGGAGAGGAATAGTTTAATGTAGATTGCTTTAATTACTGCCTAGAAATATCCCACAAAGTCAACAAGGGCAAGGAAGAGTAAGCAATCAAGCGATCTAGTGTTGCTAAGTTTGACAGCCCAGAACCATTTAGGAAAACGCCAATTCAAACCCAACTCGTAATGTGGCTATGGAAATAATTCCTGCGACGTTAATAGAGGTACCCTTGTGGACTTGATCCTTCTAGTCCGCCATGAAATCCTGACTTGAAGCCCACAAAATTGAAAGCTTGTATATTCTGTGATTTGTGATAGAAAATGTTTCACGCTGGTTTCGTACATGAATCAAGTGTTGCACGGCGCGACGAGTTTCACGTTACAAGACTTGATTCATGTTTGGACATGTTTCACTGGAAGAACAACGACTTCTATAAACCCATCCATTCGGCCACCTTGCGAGATTGATTGAATTGGTCAATACGATTCAGATCCTTCAATTTTTCCGCCAAGTAAAGGCAATGATAGTCCGATTCTTTCTACTACTTCTCCCACCGCTCATTCCCTATGTACGAGCACTACCAAGCAACACGTGTTCACTAAATCTCCTCTCGCCATCACAATGTCCACTTTCCGAGCAACCTTTACCATTATCTCCGGGGTACCACCACAATGTTCGAGAAAGTGATCCATCTTCGAACACATCCGCCAGAAATGCTGCCGAACCAAATCAACTCTGGACCAATGATCCATTCTGTATCTCCGACTTCTGCGTATGGGCCAACACATCTTTCGCCGCCGGTCGAGGCATCTCCATCATAGCCACCCAGAACCTCGCAGAAAGCGTAGCGAAGAGCGAGGGCTACCAGTCAGCTCGCCGAGTACGAGCATCAGGTGGAGGAAGCCAGGCTTCCCCGAAGTATGAAGTGAAAACCTTACCCGGGAGAGGCCTTGGATTGGTGGCTAATCATACCTTGGTTCGTGGTGATGATATTGTGTATGAGCCGCCAGTGGTACTCGCTCAGCACGACATTGAGGATCTGCTTGGGGAAGGAGAAGTCGCTACTCTGCACCGTGTTGCCGTCGAACGATTGCCTTACCGAACGAGAGCGGATGCTATGAATTTGCATGGGTATGGAGGGAAAGGTACGGCTTATGATCGCTTTAGTGCCAATGCGTTCAAAGTGTACGAATTCGCGGGCATATTTCCTATGGTTGCTGTGAGTTCCGAGTTCCACAAATATCCTAATTTGGCGGTAATGAGAGCCAACCAACGTCTTCTAGCGGATCAATCACGACTGCCGGCCAAAGTAAGTAATATATGTATGCTCGGATGAAATCTATCGGGACTGACTGCGCTGAGTGCTCATTTCTACTTTGACAAGAAGACTTTCACGCATCGGATTCATGCTGTTCGGACTATTGCCCCTGGGGAGGAGATCACTATATCCTGTAAGCTTCTAACACAAGATCTATAAAAGGCGACGGTGCTGACGGCAGCCCAGACTTGAGTCACTACCTGACCTCAGATGAGCGTGCGCACCGCACGACCAGTCAATGGGGGTTTGAATGCTTGTGTCGACTCTGTCGCGTACCTCAAGACAAACTTAACGACTCGGACAATCGCCTTAAACGCATGCAGCAGATTGAGGCCTTTTTCCTAGATGGAAGTCAAGATGAAACTACTGCAAACCCTGCTATGGCCGAAGAGTTAATACAACTCTACCAAGAGGAGCGGCTCGATGTTCCAATATCCCGAGCGTATGGCTACGCTTCCCAGCAGCACGCGCTCATTGGTAATAATGCAAAGGCGAGAATGTATGCGACCCAGGCACTGGACTCTGCTGAACTCTGGGCTGGTCCGTGGAGCAAAGAGGTGGCCCAGATAAATGCACTGCTTTCGGAACTACCATGACTTGCATACAAAATACATAGGGGCGCTTGTTTTCTAAACCCCTATGCTTAAAACCGCAATAGACTAGTGTTTAGAGACACTAAGCCTAGATGAGATTAGAGGCAGCGTCGTAAGAGATCCGACTCTTGTCTAACAAGTCAGACCCTTAACCTGCTTAGGAATAGAGGAAATGTTTAAAACTTTTAAACTAATAAACTTTTATAAACTATAGTTTAATTAATTAATTAAATTTATTTTTAAGCTAATTATATAATTTTTATAGGTGTTACACATACTCTATAACGTACTTCACAGGCGAGTTGCTTACACACCTAAGTTGCTTACTTTTACTAAGACTTTACTAAACTACTCTTCCTACACTAATGCATTTCTAATAACACTACTTAGACATGCTAAAAGAATGTTAAATATAGCTTACACTTTAAGCTTTTAAATAAAACATAAAACTTTTAAAGAAATATGCTACAGCTATGTATAAAGTTTTTTAAAAGACAATAAATAACTATAGCGCTAGATAACCTTTACAAGCAAATTCTATAGCTAACTTATTAAGGCTAAGTAATAATAAAAAGTAGGTAATTATTAAAACTATACAGTGCGAAGACAAAAGTCTGTTCCCGCAACGCGTAACCGAGAAACGCGACAAACACAACACCATCTTTCTACTATTAATTGCGCAGCCACTATAAGGTCTTTTAGCAAGGAAATTTTACATAATTATTGCTAGAATGCTAAGTTATTAGTGCAGCAGCAGAAGTTAATTATTTTAAAGTCTAAGGCTAGCGTTTCTGCTGCAGAACTAGCAGAGGAATTCTCCTGCACAACGCGCTGCATTAACACTACAATTGCGCGCTAGAAAGCAACTAGCTGCAATCTTTTACGCTATTAATCTAGACACCCCTCTAAGCTATTGCGTTGTACTAAGCGCCTACTATTTTAAACAGCTTAAAAATATCTAAAAATAGAGTACAAAATGCTGCTTAAAGAGACTAGCCTTACGCTACACATATCTACTAAGACTGCTTATTATACGCTTAAGAAGTTTAATCTTACTAACTTTTGCTGTAAGCGTAGACCTAAGATTAACCGCGCCACAGCAGGCAGAAGGCGCGCGTGGGACAGAGCATAGCGGCGCTTTAACTAGAAAAGACAGATAATGCGCTTCTCTAATAAGTGCTCTATTAAAAAAGGCTCTAGTACTAACTAGGAGTAGTGCTTTTGCTATCCTATAGAGAAGTAGAGGTATAAGATAATAGAGAAGCGTTCTACAGCTTAGCAGCTTGCGCAGATAGTGTGGGCGTCTATCTAGATTAATTACAGACAGAGGGTACATTAGAGCTCTCTTATAATTATAAAGAGAGACCCTGCTGCTCCCTACTATAGCTACTTAGCTAAGAGCTACATCTAAGCGCTTAAGGAAGGTCTCCTGCGTAACTACTAAAGAGGAGATCTATTCTAGCAGGATAACGCGCGCATACACACAGCAAGAGCAACGCGCGAATAGTTGCAGAGGCACTATATTAATGTTGTTAATTTCCCCCCCTACTCTCTAAACCTTAACCCTATTAAACATATATAGTAGGCGCTAAAAAGGACACTTTATAGGCTGCACCCTAAAATAGCTATAATAGGCAACTCTGCAGAGAAGTAGGATTAGTTCTGTGCAGCATTAAAGAAGGCGTGGCAGAAAATACCTAATTCTCTAATTAAGAAGCTTATCTTTTTAATGCTGCGCTATCTATAGGCTCTGCAACAAGCGCATAGCTACTAGACAAAGTATTAGGATAATGTAATTAAAATAAGCTATTAATTATGCTTGTGCAACTATTTAGGGTGGCTATATAATTAATTAAATAGAGGGGGCAGATGTTTAATAGGGCTCGCTAAATGCTGCCCGGAACAGACTTTTGTCCTAGTACTGTACTTAAGCTAGATGCGTAAGGATTTTCCCTTTAAATAGCATTTATAGCATTTATAGCTAATTCTTTACATGCTAAGTGTAATCTAGCCTATATTAGCATAAACTAGCCTAGTATGTTTAGAAAGTGTTATCTAAAGCTTAAAGTAACATTTAAGTATAGTATAACTATAAAAAAGCTTTTTATAAAAGTTCTAAAGTAATTTAGAGTAATTTTAGCCTTATAAAGAATATTAAAGCTAAGTATAGTATCTAGAATAATAACATGTATAACTTTAGTAAAATAGGCTTTATTATAAGCTAAATATTTATTAACTATACTTATACTTAAAACTTTACTTTAAGCTTTAAATAACAATTTATAAACATAGTAGGCTAGTTTATGCTAACATAGCCTAGATTACAATTAGCGCGTAAAAAATTAGCTATATTAGCTATAAATGCTATCTAAAGAGAAAATCCTTATGTATATAGCTAAGTATAGTCTTAATGATTACCTACTTTTTATTATTACCTAGCTTTTATAAGTTAGCTATAAAATTAGCTTATAAAGGTTGTCTAGTGCTATAGTTATTTATTATTTTTTTTTAAAAAACTCTATATATAGCTGTAGCATGTTTCTTTAAAAGTTTTATGTTTTATTTAAAAGCTTAGAGTGTAAGTGTGAAGCTATGTGGAGCACGAAAGACATGAGGAACTGGATTGTATTGCTAAAGGAGGGCAACTACGGGTTTATATAGTACTAGATGAACCCATCATGTGACTTAAGGCCACCAATAGCTTTAGGCTGCAGCAGGTGGCATTGCTAGGCAGCAGTACGCCAACGGAGTGTTGGTGGCTAGCGCATGGAGAGCTCCGTAACTGCAAACAGTAAGCTATATCTAACATTCTTTTAGCATGTTTAAGTAGTGTTATTAGAAATGCATTAGTATAGAAAGAGTAGTTTAGTAGAGTCTTAGTAAAAGTAAGTAACTTAGGTGTGTAAGCAACTTGCCTGTAAAGTACGTTTGTTAGATTGAAGCACTGTTTCTAGGCTTCCTAAGATGAATGATGGGTTTTGGATATGATGTATGGGATGATGATTTATTGTATTGATTGATCGATTTTTTTGTCTACTCTGTTCGTGTTGCTCGGCTTTGTTTTCCTGTCCGAGTCCCTTGCGCACTAGCCCTATGCGCGACTAGCTTGCAACATGCTGCAATTTGTTGCAAAATATTGCAAAATGCTGCAACATGCAGCAATTTGCAGCAACATACTGTTTAAGCTTATTGCTTGTACTATGTAGCAGCTTTTGTCCAGCGTTCCTCCTGTCTTGACAGTAGGTGCGCATATCCGACACACCCCCTTAGCTTAGACATGCTTTAAGCTGGTTCCTAATTGCGCAACCTTAGTATGCTTCTAGGGCTTCTATTCTTGCTTTAATTTCTTCTATATCTGCTTCCTAACTAACTATCCTCTCCCTAACGTTAACTAGCTGAATTTGCTAAAGAAAGCTTAGCTATTTGCTAGCTAGAAGCGCTTTAGTAAGTCTATCTGCAAGCATCTTACTAGAGGGGACATAGACAACTTTAATTATTTGTTAAAAGACTTCCTGTTAGAGCTAGTAGTTATAGATGTTAACATGTTAGAGCTTAGTTTAAAGTTAAGATATCTTTTTGTTTACTAGTTAGGTTATCTGCTTGTTATTGCACTAAATTATAATAGTTAAATTAAGCAGCTTAACCTATAGTTTATTAAAAAGCATTTTTATAAATATAGCTTTCTTAGCAACTTAGAACAGTGTAAGTAATTCTGCTTTTATTATTAATGTTGTAACTGTATTTTATTTGTTTACTTACTATGTAATCTATCTACTAAATAGTTAAATAATATAGTCCTAAAAGCTTTTTTTATTTACTGTATTATCTATAAATAACGCATTACTTGCTACTATAAGGTAGTCTTCTTCTTTTAATTAGAGTGTGTATGTCTGTGTTGCATATAGGTACAGAATAACTTAATTAGCTACATCCTAATAGTTAGATGCAGGATTTGTAAGAAACTGTGTAAGGTGTAATGTAGTAAAAGTAATGTCTAGTCTTATAGTAACTGCTATAAAGAGCAAAGATCTAATCTTCTGCTAATATTAATATACTTTTAATAGAGTTGCAAAACTAAATTATAGTATAAGTTTAATTCTACTTATAGGTGTAGCATGCTGCTAGTTCTTTCTATTAGCTAGCCTAGCTATCTTATTAATATATAAGGCTTATAATAGCTAAATTATTTATTACTATTAATTTTTAATAATCTTAACTTCTAAAAACTATTGTAGGTTCTTACCTTTTCTTAAGGTATACTTCTCTTATAACTAGCCTACTACATGCTGTATATCTACTTTAAAGCTTTTTTTTATACATAATAATAAAGTTATCTACATAAAAAAAATATTCTAGCTTTAGTTATATAGTAGGGTTTATATAAAATAGCTAAAAACCTAAGGCCTTTAAAAGTTGTTATAAAATAGTGTTACTAGAGTTAAAAAAAGTTTATAAGCTATATAGTACTTTTCAAAGCTTTAGTATTTTACCTAGTTTCTAATAGCCTTTTAGCATCTACATGTAGATATTGTAGTTAATTACTACATGTATAAACATGTTAGTTATGTTATATTATTTAAGCTTTAAGTTAAAGCGTGTAGATATTACTATTAGCATTTAAAATAAGTGTCTTGCTAGGGTAGCAGCGTAGGTATTTTATATAGTAATATTATTTTATTAATTACTATAGACTACTAGTTACACTTTACATCTTTATAATCTATAGTGCTTATTAAGCTTATAGGTGTACACCTACATATAATCTAAAATCTGCTATTTAGCTGCCTTAATTAGCTTTATCTAGACCTCTGTCTAGGATTTTATTATCTAATAATTATCTAGGTGTGTTTTTTCTACTACCTTAA